ACACATCCGCGTTTATTATTATGTATAGAAGAAAAGAAATAGGCATTGTTTTCCAGTAAGAGCTTCCAGCTCTTAGAATACCCTATTATATGAAACATACATCTACCTTTCTCTCTCTCGCATCCTTCCGACGGGGTGAAAAAATGCTTCCAGTGCGCCTTAAAAGGTCGCCAAACAGTTGCCAACCATTACAGTTTCCACCGTTAAATGTGGTAACACTAATGGTGATAATTTTTTTTCCGGGGATTCCCCAACGACACTTGTAGCGTATTCGGATTAGAAGCGGGAATTAGAGATTAGAAGCATTTATCAGAAAGAATTAAACTACACAGTTGTTCGAGTGGCCATTCGGAAGTATGTGCTGTGTATGAATTTTGGAAGAAAAAAAACGATACTAATACTATCGACAAGGAACTTGAAAATGAAATTCGCAAAGAAGCATCATTTTGGAAAAGGGTTCTTCAAAGGTTATTCGATATCATACTTACCCTAGCAAAGAGTTCTTTGGCTTTGAGAGGACATCAAGAAGACTTACATCAGAAAGGATACCACGGAAATTTTCTGTCCTTTGTAGAGATTGTCGCTCGATATGATCACATTTTGCGGCAAGTTTTGGATATGCCCAAAGGTAATAATAATTATTTCTAAGTTTTTTTATCGTTGTATTTTCTTTATAATTATTAACTGTTTAATATCAGGACTTTTTTGAAATTGTGTTTTTTTATGTTTTTAGGATCTACAAGATATCTGAGTGCAACAATTCAAAATGAAATGATTGAGAGCTTGGGGACCAAACTCGAAACCCATCTGCTAGAACAAATTAGAGCGTCACCGTTTCTTGCCATCATAATGGATACGACACAGGACATATCGAAGGTAGATCAGCTAAGCATTGTTGTGAGGTATGCAGTAATAACCAGATCGGAAAATGGACAGTCAATTGATATAGAAGTAAAAGAATTGTTTCTAGGCTTTTATGCAGCCATCAAACATGGCGCAGTAGATTTAATCAACCAAGTGATAACATTATTTATCGACAAAAATATTGATTTAAAAAAATGTGTGGGGCAAGGCTATGATGGAGCCAGTGTGATGAGTGGTGTGTATGATGGTGTACAAAAACATATTAAGGATATCCAACCTAAAGCAGAGTACGTACATTGTGCAACTCATAATTTAAATTTGATGATAAATGATGCTGTAAGCAGTTGTGTGGAAATACAGATTTTTTTCGCAACGTTGCAAGACTTGTATAACTGTTACGAATTAATTCTTTTTGGCGGCGTCAATTCGTCGCCAATCAAATAATTTTTTTTTTGTCAGTTGTTCTCGATGCA